ACTGCTACTGCCACTGCCACTGCTACTGCTACTACTACTGCTGCTGCTACTGCTACTGCTATTGCTACTGCTACTGCTACTACCACTACTTCTGTTATTATATAGTACTGTTGTTACAATTACAATTCCTATCACTAGCCCCTAGTTTTGTCTAGGTCATGTTAAAAAGTTGTTGCTGGAGAACCTCGGAACACCAGAAACCCCAATCCCCGTGGTCTATTAAGCAACGTGCCAAAAATGCTTCATGATTAATGTAGAAGCCTGAAGTACTAAAGACTGTTCCTCAAGGTGCCTTTATCATAAACATCCTGCAATATCCGCCCAAACTCTATTTTAGCTGTGTCGAGTTTAGTGTTTAGGGCTTAGGGTTTCGCATTTGGAGTCTTTGGCATCATCCTGCCGACGTCAGGCCAAAGCCCACGTCCTGGGCCTTTACCACGAGACGGCCGGCAAGGGGAAGCGGGTGCAGCGATGGCTGAAGCACCATCTCACGAAAAAGCCTGCCCGGCGATGATTGAAGAGGGGTGTTAATGGAGGGTTTCCCTATCCGAAAGTTTCTCTCAAGGGGTCTACAGGGTTTAGGGTTTAGGGTTTAGTTTATGCAACAACAAGGGCACAGAGTCCCTCAAGGACCTGATGAGCATTGGTGATCTGAGCAGGCTTGGCTTGGAGAAGATTGAGTAATTTAGGGGCCTAAATAATTGCAAAAACTACAGTTCAATGGGGCTCAAAATTGTATTCAAATTACATTATGTTCTGTCATCTACCATCGCCCTCCTACCCCAAAGTGGGACCAGCTTGAGACTTTTGCAGAGGAAGGGTTCGGGACGAAAGAGTACGAACGCCCGTACTTCTACCTAGGGCTTTTAAGGGTTTAGGGACGGGTATGTCGCATGTGTGTGTGTGTGTGTGTGCGCGTGTATGTGTGTGTGTGCGCGTGCGTGCGTGTGTGTGTGTGTGTGTGTGCGTGTGCTCACTCTGAACGCCAAAGCCCTCAGACATTACCAATACAGGTAGGGTTGGTAATGATATCTGTAGTCCTTACACAGTGTCTTGATCTTGTACGGCTCTAAAGGGATACTATTCTGTTTAGACGTCTATACTTGGCTTTAATGAAGCTGCATGAGTCAAACGGTCCAGCGCCCTTTGGAAGGCCTTGAACTTTCCAACGTCTCAGGGTGGAGGGACTTCAAACCCTAAAACCTTAAACCCTAATCCCTAAAGGTTTCAAGTTGGCTGGAAACGAGCTCTCAGTCCCTCCCCGACTCCCCGTGGCCTCGATTTTTGCGGGCGTTGAGTTCCTCAAGAATATAGGGGCCTTCAGAATCAGAATAGGGTTTTTGGGGCTCCTCATTACAATTATGGTATAATATGCCCCAAACTCTATTCTAATTATTATTAAGGCCCCTACAATAACAGCTGTCAGAATGTGAAGAGACGTAGCCAGAACCACAATCACAGGGACTCGCGGGATTCATCATACGACCACGACCACGACGGCGGCGACGACGATGACTGCTATAGGGGCCTAAATAATTACCTATACTATTTTTGGGGGCTCCTTATTATAGTTATAGTATAATGACCACCCAAAACCATTCGAATTATTAAGGCCCCTACACTACTATTGCCACTACTACGACGATGACTACTACTACGAAGATGGGAGCCATAGAAACTAATCAGATGAAGGCGATTCCTTCAAGACTGTAACGAGTACCCAGAGAGCCCAATACCCCTTAAATAAGGAATCTACCATAAGTTATAGGGGCCCTAATATTATGATTTAAAGTCTATTCCTTAATTAAGGGGTACTGGGCTATCTGGGTAAACCCTAAACCCCAAACCCTAAACCCCTAAACCCTAGACCCTAAACCCTGGGAGGCTGTCTGTGATGACCGAATTCCAGGAGGCCCGAGTCGGGCAGGCACGGTGGGAAAGTCAGTTGGTTCCTTGGGCTTTGGGCTTTGGGCTTTGGGCTTTGGGCTTTGGGCTTGGGGTGTGGGTTTAGGGTTTAGGGTTTAGGGTTTTAGGGCTTTCGGGCTTAGGGTTTAGGGTTTAGGCTCTGGGGTAAGGGGTCAGCTTGGGGGTTTAGGGTTTAAGGTTTTGGATGAATGAGGCAATTGGGGTTTAGGGTTTTGGGTTCCAATTCACTTGCAACTAAATCCAGGGCCCTGGCTCTCGACGCGACAAGGCTCTTGTTGCAGAGTTTAGTTGAAGTTATCATCAGACGAACGTGCAGCAAATGATATGGAGTCCTTCTTGTGGCAACCTGTTTCAAGTCACAGCTGTAGCCCAGAGAACACCCACAAGACCCGATAAAGTGTGGAACCCCACTGAGCAGGGAAAGGGTTGTCATGCGTGCTCTTGGGATTTCGGTATGTCTTCTTGAAGCGTTACATCCTGATCCGAAACTACATCATATAATATAGGGGTCTAAATAGTTGCCTGTACTATTTAGGGGGTTCCTTATTAAAGTTACAGTAAAATATACCCCAAAACCCTACGCTAACTATTACGGTCCCGATATTATGTGCGCGTGTCTGGCAAAGGCGTTGGGAAGCGCCGACGGGCACGCCCTTGTCTGGTCAAAGTTCAACGGTTTAGGGGTTTAGGGTTAGGGTTTCGGGCTAAACCCTAAACCCCTAAACCCTAAACCCTAAAGTCGACTTTCAAGCCTCTGCACAAGAGCATCTTCCCAGGAGCTGCACTCAAGAACCGAAGCCCTAAGAAGGGGGTTTTAAAAATTCGAAGAGGGTTTCAGGGAATACTATACCATGATAAATCATCAGGAACCACCAAAACAGTATAGGTACTTATTTAGGCCCCGCTATTTTAGTAAACCCTAAGTTCATGGGCAGTATCGGCGGAGATCTAGAAGACCAGACACCACCCAGAAAGGAGAGCCCCAACGTAGCGCCAGGCGCTGGAGACCTTCGATTCGATGTGGTGGGGTATTCGAAGGAAGCTGGACGGGTGCCCCCTGGACTGCTTTGACCTCGAGCTGGTTCAACTGCATCTTCTGCTAGATTCTACTAGCCCGAAACCTTACATGCACTCTACAAACGCACAGGAAGCAGCCACAGAGTTTCCTTGCGCCGAAAGCCCCGACTACCAAAACATGCAAACTAAGCCCTCGCTGGCACGGGTTGAGGGCAGTTTTTTTTTTAGGTTGTCGAGCCGAGATTTTTTGAGCAAAGTCGTATTACTGTATGGTCGGGCTGTCCAAAGCCTCGGTTACTTTAAATCACTATGGCTATGACGCTATGACCATGGCTTTTGCTATTGCCATTGCTACGAACTGATGTTGCTTGTTGCGCCATAATGATTACGACTACAGTACTAGTATGCTTACTTTCATTGTGTCGATTTGTTTCTCACTAGTGTTATGCGAGCACTATGACTTTTGAGCCTCAAAGTCCGTAATCTCTCTGCATCGTTTTCTCCCGAAATTACGAAATTGCATCAACCCCGTGCAACGCAGCACAGTAGTGGAGTGCAGCCTGACATATTCCCCAAGAACAATCTGAATCAGAGCCCTTCAAAGGGCACTCCCTAAACCCCAAGCAGCCCTAAAGGCTAAACAAAACACTAAACCCTAAACCCTAAACCCTAAACCCTATAAGCCCTAAACCCGAAGCCCTAAACCCTAAACCCTAAGCCCAGAAAGCCTAGACCCTAGAACCACAACATCCCGAACCGAGACCCCGACAGCTTCTAACCTCTAGAAGCAAGCCTGGCTCATAAGTGGGGTTCAGAGTTTAGGGTTTGGGGGTTTAGGGTTCAGAGTTTAGGGCTTGGGGGTTTAGGGTTTAGGGTTTGGGGTTTGGGGTTTGGGGGTGTTGGGTTTAGGGGTTTAGGGGTTTAGGGGTTTAGGGGTTCAGGGTTTAGGGTTTGCGGGTTTTGGGTTTAGGGTTTGGGGTTGGGGGGTTTAGGGGTTCAGGTAGTCAGAAGTGGGGTGAAAAGTGCTCTAATCTTGCATATTACTCTACTACTCAGAACCCGTATAGATCCCTCATAGAACCCTCATAGAACCCGTATAGAACCCTTCTAGACTCCTTGTAGAACCCTGATAGAACTCTTATAAGCCCCTACTTCTTGTTTCCGAACCACGAACCTCCAACCCTAAACCCTAAACCCTAATAACCCAGTGCAGGTACCTTGAGGCAGCTGGCGAGCATACGCAGGACCCGACCGAATCGAGGGGGCAGGGTCTGGATCTGGGCTTTGGGGTCTGGGGATTAGAGTTTAGGATTTATAGGACTGAGGGTATTAGGGTTTAGGACTTAGGGTTTAGGACTTAGGGTTTAGGGTTTAGGACTTAGGGTTTAGGTTTAGGTTTGAGGTTTTAGGGTTTAGGGTTTAGGGTTTAGGACTTTGGGTTTCGGGTTTAGGGGGGTTTCTGAGGGCTTAGGCCTTGAGTGCTTCTGCAATCGCTTCAGATTCGGCGTAGTTTGAAGACGGAATGGTCCAGGAGGGAATCAGAATGCACGAAGAAGGCCCTAAGCCCTAAAAACTGATCCCTACTCCCTAAGTCCTAAACCCTAAAAACTACAAGCTAAACCTTAAACCCCAAAAGCTAAACCCTAAACCCTCAAGTCTCTGGTGGAGGGCTTAGCCTTTCAGGAACCACAAACCTTCCAAACCTTAATCCCGACGACCGGAGGCTCCGACAGAACGCCCAGAATCCTCCTAAAGCCCGGTTTGCGGTTTAGGGTTCAGGGTTTAACCCCAAACCCTAAACCCTAAACCCTAAACCCTAAACCATAACCCTAAAGCCTATAACCCTAAACCCTAAACCCTCCCTTATACCCTAAGTATTGCGCTGACTGCAGGCCACCCGGCGCGCTGTGGAGGCTTTGCGAGGCCGGTCTGGCGAGCTACGACTATTTTAGGGGTTTATAGGGTTTAGGGTTTAGGGGGTAGCTCTCTAGATTAGGGTCCCTTTTTAGGTCCTCAAAAGAGCACGGCACCCTGAAAAGAAACGGGCCTTAAAGGGGACCATGATTTAGAGAACTGCCCATTTACTCCTTCATGAAGTCTCAAGCTACCCATAGACTTGCATGTATGCATGTCTGCATGCATGTATTTAAGCATGTATATTTGCATGCATGCACGCATGCATGTGTGTGTGTGTGTATGTGTGTACGGATGTATGTATATGTACACAGATGTCAATGAGATGCATGCACATGCATATGCCTAGACAAATGCATAATTCATATGTGTAGGTGTGTGTATATATATATATGCACGTACATGTGTATGTATGTGTCTACCTATGCATAAACGTGTATGCATATGTATCTGTACAGTTGTATGTGTAGACGCATGTAAAATGTCTATTGTCTAAGGCAAAGTTCGTGTCTATGCCTCTGCCTGTGACTCCGCCAATGACTATCTCGATCTACACCTCTATCTCTATATCCACTTCTATGCCGGTTGTATGTATGTGTGCGTGTGTACATACATACATACATACATACATACATACATACATACATACGTACATACATACATACATACATACATACATACGTACGTACATACATACATACATACATACATACTTACATACACACTTTTATACTTACATACAGATGTTTTTATATAAGAATATTCACATGCGTATTTATGTATCAATATATATATATATACACATGCATATGCGCACATACAGACGTACGTGCTGCACCCATCCATCCATCCACCCGCCACCCACCCGCCCGCCCGCGCGCCAGCCAGCCAGCCGGCAGCCAGACAGCCATCCATCCATCCATCCTTTCTACAGTCGAAACCCAACCTAAGCCGTAGACTGAACTTGCAGAACGGGACACTTATGTAGGGTTTAGGGTTAGAGAACGAATCACACCGTAAGACGTTGCAACACTTTTGTGCGCGCGGGCGCGGTGATGTTGAAGTATGTTGCGTGTTTGTTTGTTGTTTTTGTTGTATGCAAACATGCACATGACTGCTTTTTTATACTTACATATTCCAGCACCGATGTATGTATCTAGATGTGCATGCCTGTGCATGTGCATGTCCGTCTCTTTAATGGAATTATACGTCAACTGCGGTTAAGTTACACATCCTTTAATATGGGTTGTACCGCAATTATCATACTTGCGAACAGACCTCGATGCCTCTC